CCCCCCCCCCACCCAAACTCCAACATCTGGTGATCTGACGCAGCTGAAAGGGACCACTTGCGTTTCAGCTTTTGTGACTCTGACTATCAAAAGCCAACTTCTGTTTAATTGTGTATGAGCCCAAAGTTGTCCCAGGGGAGCAAGACCTCAGAGCTGGGCCAAGAGTGGAAACAGCGATGCAGCTGTTTCTGAAGAGAACCCTATTCCCAGCATTCCCAGGTAATCCCTGCACAGAATCCCTGCCTCCCAAATCCTCGCTTCCATCTTTTGATTATATCCCCATCACCATTGCTGACTGCCAACACAGGGCTCTTGGCACCCTCATCTGTAGAAGCAGACCCAGGGTGGACCCATGGTGAACGAACAGTATGTGCCTATGCTAACCTGCTAGAATGTCTTTCCTTTTAACATTTATTTGCAGACTATGGTGATGGACCAGGTGTACGGAGACACGAGTTATAACCATAGATTCTCAGAACCTGAGCACCGGAAGGGCTTAAGACCATCTGGCCCCACCCCATAATGTGACAAATACAAGAACGAAGGCCCGGCATAGTGGCCTGCTCCGAGGACTTCTGGTCTAGGAGAAAGGACGTGGGTCCTCAGGGTTTGGCTCTCAGCTTTGCAATTTTTAACAGTATGAACCTTGAGCGAGTTCTTTATCTTTCCTTATCTGGAAAATTCCCAACAAGTAGCAATAATGACAGCTAACATTTATGAAGTATTTATTATGTGTCAGATACCATGCTAAGTATTTTACCAACATTTCTCATTTAATACTCAACGCAAATCCCATGAGATAGGTACTACCACTGCCATAAAAATCTGAGATTTAGGAAGAACCCAACTAAAATCACACTTCTAGAAATGGGAAAATCTGGCATACAAAGCCAGATTCTCCTCACTAAGGAGAATAGAGTCCTACACCATGGCAGACTTAGCAAACATCAGGTCCCATTCCTAAACCTCAGACTCTTGGACTCTTTCCATTCACTGGTCATGTGCCCTTAGGTAAGTCACTTAAACACCTGAGAATCTGTTTTCTTGGTTATAAGATGCAAAGAGTAATTCTCCTATCATATTGCTTTCACAGAGTCAAGTAAGTATAAAATGAGATGTCTTTAAGAACTCTGAGAACCATGTAGAGCTCTACTACCTTAAAATATTATTACTAGTTAAAAAGGGGGGGAGCTTCTGGGGGTTTAGTTGGATGGGTGTCCTATCCTTGATTTCAGCTCCTACCCTGAGTCAGGTCATAATCCCAGGGCTGTGGGATCAAGCCCTGCATCAGGCTCCTCACTGAGCATAGAGCCTACTTGGAATTCTCTCTCCCTCTCTCTCTCTCTCTCTCTCTCTCTCTCAAAAATAAAGTATTACTAGTAGTATTTGGAGGTGGCAGATGGAGTAAAAACACTAGTGTTGGACATCACAACACCTTGAGTCCCAGAGTCATGTTCTGAACAAATGATCATACTCAACGCTCTTCTTTTTTTAATTTTTTTTAACATTTATTTATTTATTTTTGAGAGACAGAGAGAGACAGAGCACAAGCGGGGGATGGGCAGAGAGAGAAGGAGACACAGAATCCGAAGCAGGCTCCAGGCTCTGAGCTGTCAGCACAGAGCCTGACGTGGGGCTCGAACTCACAAACCACGACATCATGACCTGAGCTGAAGTCGAACGCCCAACCGACTGAGCCACCCAGGCGCCCCACTCAACGCTCTTAATGTCTGAGTTTTCTCATCAAAAAATGGGGACAATCCTACCTGCCCCAAGGTGTTACTATGAGATGAGATGAAATGACAAATATTAAAATTATAAAGCAATAGCCAAATATCTATGAAAGCTCTTTGAAAGTGCCTGTGCTTTCCAAAAGTAACATGATCGAATTTTTGAACATTACTCATACCTTCTTCTTTTTCAAAGGTGATAAGTGCTTGTCCTTTCTGTAGCTCATAAAGAACTTGCGAGCTCACTTGAAATGAACAGGAGACATTTAAAAACTGGCTGTCATTCTCAGGATTCTCTAAAGATGTGAATTTCATCTCTGTTTCAGGAATATCCTCTTTAATCTAATTTAAACAGAAATGTTTGATTAAAATCAAGACAAGAAATAACTTAAGCCCTTCCTGTGATAATGTGATTTGATCATCCAATAATTCATTCTCCACTGATTTCAGAACCCCACAGAATGCTAAGTGTGGTCTTAGTGAATATCTTTAGTAATTACTTCTTCCCAGGTAAGTACTCAGTAAAGTAATCAGATGCTGATCCTTTAATATTATTTCCCAGATGAAATTATAAGTATATAATCTCTCATTTTGTCTAATCAATGTTTAAACTAGCCAATATTGGATGGTGTTCGATTCTAAAGTCTACATCATTCCTGTAGATAAGTACCTTTTAAACAACTATACCAATAATAGGGTATCCTACAAGGGAATCATAAGACAATATGTTTATTCTCTTTGCAAAGTGTTATAAATTAGAGTTGCATATATGCTAAGTTTATTTTAATAGCAAACCCAGATAATTTCATCCAAAAAGAAAGCCTCCCAAATTATATGATTTAATAATTGTCAAATTTAAATTCCCCCTTCCCCAACACCTGCCCATCAACTTTTTAAAAAAAAAATTTTTTTAACGTTTATTTATTTTTGAGAGAGACAGAGCTTGAGTGGGGGAGGGGCAGAGAGAAGGGAGATACAGAATCCGAAGCAGGCTCCAGACCCTGAGCTGTCAGCACAGAGCCCGATGCGGGGCTCAAACCCACGGACCGTGAGATCATGACCTGAGCGAAGTCGGACTGTGCCCATCAACTTTTTAACCATTACCAAACTTAGATTTATAAAAATGTGAAGGGACACTATCAACAAGATTCATAATCTGAAGGATAAAGTTAAGTGGTTATAAGTTGTGTGTTATTGCAAAGGGGTTAGAAATATTCAATGAGTTATTTGACCTAATTTCACATTTGTTCTATATCTTCACATGTAACTTCAGTAGAATCTCTGATTTCCATAAGTCCAGTTTCAAAACAATTGGCAGTGTCTGAGAATAGGTGGAGTGTTTCCCAATAATGTGGAAATACCCAATATACCCTGAAAAGTCGAGAGCTTTCTGGAATGAAAGTGCCTGATTCTGGTCTTAGGCACACTTGGCCAGGAGCAACTCATGTATGCTCTCTGGACCATAGTTTCAGTCCTCTGTAAACTGTATCAGCTGAGCTGGCTGGGTTCCCAAGATCCTTTGAGTGACAGGACTGGCTGATTTCATCTCCAGTCTGAGAAGTAACTACAATTGTAACAGTGTCCCATAAGTCCCATAAACATGGGGAACTCCAATTCCTGATATTCAATATCCTATCCTCCATTTCAGAAACAAAATATGACAATGCTTTAAGCATTTTAACTGTTTAAAGGAACAGTATGAGTTGTCATGGAGAAAAAGGAGTGAAAGTTATGTCTAATTCAAATACAGGAAAATTTAGGAGAGGATTTAAATGGTGAAGATATATGTCCAATTTTTTTAAACTGTGAAATCCATTTAAGTTACTTGAAGAGAACAATAAAGGCACTTAGTGAGAAGACGAAGAATTTGATCCCAAAGTGATTGATAAGGACCATTGTTTTGTTTTGCATTACCATATACATAAATAAAAATTTAAAAACATACACATAAATATAAAAAAATGTATTATCAGAAACGTACAGTCAGATGAAATTTTACAAAACGATCACACACATGTGACCAGCACCCAGATCAATAAACAGAACATGACCAACACCCAGAAGCCCTCTTGGGTTCTCTTCCAGTTCCTACCTGCCGCCAAGGGCAACCAGGATGCTAACTTTTAACATCCTGCTGTTATGCATTATTTAAATGGAAGCATATGGGGGAACCTGAGTGGCTTAGTGGGTTAAGCACCTGACTTCAGCTAAGGTCATGACCTCGCAGTTCATGCGTTTGAGCCCCCCCCCGTCAGGCTCTGTGCTGACAGCTCAGAGTCTGGAGCCTGCTTTGGATTCTGTGTCTCCCTCTCTCTCTCTGCCCCTCCCCCACTCGTGCTCTGTCTGTGTCTCTCACAAATGAATAAACGTTAAAAAAATGTTTTAATAAAAATAAAAATAAATGGAAGCACTTGGTATATCCTCTTTTATGTTTTTTGCTTCAACATTGTGTTTATGAAATCCACCCATGTGGCTGCATATAGCTGTGACCTGTTCATTCTCATTGCTGTATGGTATTCCATTGTGTGAATACACCCCAAATTAATAATTCAGTCTAGTGGGGAGGGACAGTTGAGTTGTTTTCAGTTTGGGGCTATTACAAACAATGGTGCCATCAATGTTTACAGTGTTTTAAAAGTGAATTCTGTGTAACTAAATTGTTTTTTCGGAAAAATGGTGTCCGTTAAGAATGTGATATACAAAATAAAGAGGTACCTGGGAGTTTATGGTGGACTCTTGTAACTCGGCCTCAAGCCTTTGGATCTCCTCCTTTAACTGAGTATTCTCCTTTGCAATTTTATCAATTAATCTCTAAAAAATATCAAACAGCATCAAAAAATTAAACAGCTCCTGACTCCATTTTTCTAAACAAATTAAAGAAGCTAAATTTCTATCATCTTGATAAAGGCAAAGAAAGACATCATCGTTATCACCTAATAATTCTCCTACCACTGACAAGTAGTATTATCCCCATCATGCAAACAAGGAAACTACCTTTCACACTAGACCAAGGTCACAGACATTTTTATAGTGGGGCAAGGATTGAGACCCAGACCTGAATCTCATTTCAGTGTAACTCCTTGCCTGGCTATTTGTGACAACAATATGACTTTTAAATTGCACTGTAATTGTGGACATACGTTACTCAAAGGCAATTTAAAAAATTTTTGCTATGATTCCCACAGTACAGCTGCCTTGACATGCCAGACATATGGCCCTGGGTAAGTGGCTTAAGCTACCTGAACCCCCATCCCCTCATGGGTCTCATCAGATAATTGCTAAGAAAGCTCTTAACTTCTGGGTGCAAATCAAAAAAAGGAGGAAGGGAGTAAAAGAAAACAGCTAATGTTGTAAGCCTTGTAAGAGAAAGAACAGAAATACGATTCTTTTTGTAAGGTTTGAATAATAGAAATAAAATTTTTGAAAAAAATTCAAAGTAATGTTGGACAAAAACATACAAAACATGCCTCACTGCAAAACTAATAGATATAAATTAATTTTTAATAGTACCCAGTAATTTTTACCTCTCTTTGTTCATCTTTCATAAATTCTTCCTCTAACCAAAGCTCCTCGTGAACTTGGCTTTTGTTATTTCCACTGTCTGCCATGATTCCTAATTATTACAAAAAAGTAAATATTTTAAAAATCATACATACACACAAATTCAAGAAGAAATAACTTTTATCCTTTTACAAAAGAAGAAATGTATTTTTGTTATATTTTTTCCCTATCATCAAAGTTTTTATTATCATGTGGCTTATATTTGAACAATGCCTATATTTCAAATAACTTTCATACCTATACAGACATAAAAGGGGTCTAGAAATCCTTTGCTTTTCAACACAATGATAGAAAATAACAGGGGTGCCTGGGTGGCTCAGTCAGTTAAGCATCTGAATCTTGATTTTTGGCTCAGGTCATGATTTCATGGTAGTAGGCCGAGCTCTGCATCAGGCTCTACACTCACAGCTCTCTCTCCCTCTCTCTCTGCTCCTCTCCTGCTCATGTGTGTGCTCAATCTCTCTCTCTCTCTCTAAAAAACAAATAAATAAACTTAAAAGAAAAAAACACAAGTCTAAAATTTTTTTAAAAAGGAAAGAAAATAACAGGTATTAATATTCCTTTGAGGTTCACATCTTAATCATAACATGGTGCCCCATATTAAAAGATTACTATTTTGGTCTTTTCAAAGATTTTGATTTATCTAATTCTTCCTATTGTACTCCCCAAATGTAAATGGAGTAGAAAGGCCCCAAACACCCTTCCTCTGCATGTACGGAAATTCTTATCAGAATTTTCACAAATCCTCCCCTGTCCAGACACCTGAATAGGAAAAAAATTACATCTTTACTTCTTTTTTTTTCTTAACATTTATTTATATTTTGAAAGACAGTGAGAGACAGAGCACAAGCAGGGGAGGGGCAGAGACAGAGGGAGACACAGAATCTGAAGCAGACTCCAGGGTCTGAGCTGTCAGCACAGAGCCCGATGCGGGACTCAAACTCACGAACCGTGAGATCGTGACCTGAGCTAAAGTCAGTCACTTAACTGACTTAGCCACCCAGGTGCCCCAAAAATTACATCTTTACTTCTAACAACCTCTCACTGAAACATCTCTCTTCAGATATGAACATAAGGCAACAAGCCACACAGTATTTGCAGCACCTGGACAAAAGTCACCAAGAGGACACAAATATTTTCATAAAATATTGTAACTGTTGCAGAAGTCCTGAAATATGTTTGTGTTTAACCTTGTTTCAAAATGATGGCAGCTACTAAACTCATTACTAGGTATTGTGATATGCTGTAATATATTGATGTATATTACTATATCAAAAATTTGCTTTTTTAAATATTTTGATAATCATATTTCAATATAATTGGTTTCCTTTGTAATTGTCTATATATTATTTTATACATTAAAAAAAAAATTTAAAGGCCTATAGGCTTTATCAGACTGACAAGGAATCCATGGCACAAAAAAAGTAAACATTTGCCTGCATATGAATTTACCAGATGTAAGTCCCAGATCAAAATTGAGACAAGGAATAATATAACAACTATTTTTTTTTATTTTTTTTTTAGCATTTATTTATTTTTGAGAGACAGAGAGAGACAGAGCATGAGCGGGGGAGGAGCAGAGAGAGAGGGAGACACAGAATCCGAAACAGGCTCCAGGCTCTGAGCTGTCAGCACAGAGCCCGATGCGGGGCTCAAACTCACAAACCGCGAGTTCGTGACCTAAGCTGAAGTCGGACGCTCAACCGACTGAGCCACCCAGGCGCCCCTATAACAACTATTTTTATTGCTTTAAAAACATATTAAAAACCAGCTTGTGATATAATATAATCCTCTAAAATTTCAAGAGCTAAATTCTCACTACTCCTGTAGAAGAAACAGGAAAAATATTTATCCCTCCTTAAAAATAAAACAGAAGATTGGGGGGCCTAGGTGGCCCAGTCAGTTGGCCATCTAACTCTTGGTATCAGCTCAAATCATCATCTCATGGTTCGTGAGTTTGAGCCTCACATCGGGCTCTGCCCTAACAGGGAGCCTGCCACAGATTCTCTTTCCCTCTCTCTTTGCCCCTCCCCTGCTCCTGCTCCCTCTCTCTCAACATAAATAAACAAACATTTTAAAATTAATTAATTAGGGGCACCTGGGTGGCTCAGTCAGTTAAGCGTCTGACTTTGGTTCAGGTCATGATCTTGTGGTTTCTGAGTTCCAGCCCACATCGGGCTCTGTGCTGACAGCTCAGAGCCTGGATCCTGCTTCAGATTCTGTGTCTCCCTCTCTCTCTGTCCCTCCCCTGCTCATGCTCTGTCTCTCTCTGTCTCTCAATGATAAATAAATGTTAAAATTTTTTTTAAAAATTAAAAATTTTAAAAATTAAAATTAATTAATTAAATAAAATAGAAGACTGGCAAAAAAAATAGTGTGAACACTAGCAGTTTCCAAAAACAGAGGGAATCACGTAGCACCTGGATCTTGGTTTCTAATCTATTCTCCAATAAACAGAACCAGGGCTCCTTGGAACAATGGCTGATTCTACCTATGGGACAAGAAATATACAAGATAAGCCTGGAGCTTCCAATGGTCAAACATACATAAAGGGGGTTTTTCAAGTAAGTAAATATACAGAAGATAAAAGGAGTCAGGTTTTTCATTGCCAGGGAAGGTAATTATAAATATAGAAAGAAAACTAGAATGAATGCTATGGATTAGAAATGGAGATATCAGTGTAATCTCATGATATCCATAGGCAGAATGACAGAAAGATACATACATGCTGTACATATCTATCTGTATATATACACCTAGCTCTGTCTGCTGAGAGGGCCTGGAAGAAAAGACAATAGCAATGAGTACAGCCCCCAGAATTTGGTTTCTGATACCATCCTCCACTACAAGGAACCAAGGATTTTCAGAGAAATGGTTGATACCAGGACTGGGACAGGAAAAATACAAAATAAGCACCTAATGTTGCCAGAAAGCAAAGAAGTGCTCAAAAAATGATGAGGGCATGTCGAAAAGACATGAAACCCAGCTTGAGGAGGTTCTTACTGGCCAAATCTGGGACTAAATAAAGCATAAAAATAAATAATGACACTGAGTATCATTATGAATTAAGCATAAAAAAATGTCCACTGAGTAAATTAAAAATCTTTGAGTCCATACCAACATACATACATACATACATACATACATACATACATACATACATAAATTGAAATTTTGGTAAGAAAAAGACCATCCAGTTAGTTTCAAAATACTTCCACACAACCGGGGCACCTGGGTGTCTCAGTCGGTTAAGTGTCCGACTTCAGCCCATGATCTCATGGTTTGTGAGTTCAGGCCCCGCGTCGGGCTCTGTGGTGACAGCTCAGAGCCTGGAGCCTGCTTAAGATTCTGTCTCCCTCTCTCTCTGCCCCTCCCCCCCCTCTGTCAATAATAAAGGTTAAAAAAATTAAAAAATACTTCCATACAACATATTAATTTCAAAGGGTAAAAAGTAGCTTTACATTGAAGAAGCTGGGCAGATGCCACCATAATAAAATAAACAAAGTAAATACTGAAATAAGCCAAAAATCATCTGCCATCTGATAGGGTGCACTTAGAACACAGCATGACTTCTATGATATTCCTGCCAAAGATACGTAATCTGAATCTCAGTATGAGGAAACATTAGATAAACTGGCCTGTTCTCTCCAAAAGTGTTAAGCTCATGAAAGCCAGTGAAAGGCTGAGAAACTCTTCCAGACAGGAGACTAAACTAAATGCAGTACATGACTCTGAATTGGGCCTTTTTGCTACACAGGATATTATTAGTACAACTGTCAAAATGTGAATGGGATCCAAGGATTTGATGGCAGTAACGTATCAATATTAATTTCATTTTGATGACTGAATTTTAGTTAGGTAGAGAATATGTTTTGTGTAGGAAATATATATTCAAGAATTCCAGAGCAACGGGTCTTGAAGTTAAAATCTTATTCTCAAATAATTCAGGAAAAAGGAAAGTTGTTTGTTTTGTACTTGCAACTTTTCTCTAAGTATGAGATGGTTTCAAAATATATTAGTAGCTCCCTATTGCACCAACTGCAGAATCCTTTTAATGAGACTCAACAGTCATCTGAGGTCTTACACAGTCTAACCAAAACTAGTCTTATTCAGACAACTTCTACACTAAGCACCCTAACCATACTGAACACCTGAAGGTCCCTCCTTTCCCTCCTGTCCCTCAATATGTCATATACTTCCTCTCCTCTCAACCTTAAGGAAATTCTACTGTTCTTCAAGGTCCATCCCAAATTTCCCCCAAGTTTTTAAAGCCTTTTCTGATTCCCCTAAAGGACATTACTTCTCCCTCTTTTATCTCTTTTGGAGAGCTTTAATTATTTGTATGCCTGTGTCATTTTCCATGACTAGATGTTTATGACCTTGAGGCCAAGGACCATGTCCACTCCTCCTTGCATCCATTCAGAGCACAATAGAAGAATACACACTGACAACTGTGGTATCTTAACTAGTATTTGCTCTGCTCAGGACATTCCATACATGTGAAGTTCTCTTATTACATTTCCGGAAAGCAGAAATGGCAACATTATTTGTTTGATTGCTTTTTTTTAAATCAATATTTTTAAGAGTTTGTAATAAAGACTCTCAATATATTTAACTCATATAAATGGTCTACTACATAATACTCCCAGAACTTTTTTTGGTATATTTAGTGTCTGGATACTTCCCCTTTTTGTTTAGTGGGATGTACAGTAACAGGCTTCCTTTTATACCATCAGATAGTAGGCAAAATAATGACCCTCTCAAAGTTGCCCATGCCTAATCCCCAGAATCTATGAATATGTCAGATTACAATTAAGGTTGTAGATTGAATCAAGGTCACTAATCAGACGACTTTAAAATATGAAAATCATTCTGGATTATCCATGGGGCCAATATAATCATGAGGGCCCTTAAAAGTAAAAGAGGAAAGCCAAAGAGCAGAGTCAGAGTGAGATGTGACAACAGAATAATGTTCAGAGAGATGCAGTGATGCTGCCTTTAAAGATGCAGAAAGAACATCACTAAGCCAAGGAAGGAGGGCAGCATA